ATATTTTTTTTTTTTTTTGGTTGATGTGTTTCTGTAAAACTGATATTTGGCCTCAAATCAATCCGTTTTTTTATTTAATTCTTAAATAATAAATGATTCTAACGTGTATACGAAAAAACAGCGAACACTAATAAAAAACTAAACTATCTAAACATATAAAAAAACTGAAAAACAAAACTTAAAATTTTAAATTAAAACCCACAAAATACTTGAGATTAGACGATTTTATAAAAACTTTGATGATTTTGTTCACTGTTGGCAAACGAACCTAAGACTGACATCTGTACAGGGCGGCTGAGTAGCAAAAGCGATGTGTACAGCTTTGGGGTGGTCCTTCTGGAGCTGCTCTCCGGCCGGCGTGCAGTTGACAAGACAAAGGTGGGGATTGAGCAGAATCTAGTGGACTGGGCTAAACCATACATGGGGGACAAGCGGAAGCTGTTTCGGATAATGGACATAAAGCTCGAGGGCCAATATCCTCAGAAGGCTGCCTTCGCAGCTGCCACGGTGGCCTTACAGTGCCTCAGCCACGAGTCAAAGATGAGGCCCCGAATGGCCGAGGTCTTGGCCACGCTTGAGGACCTCCAGCAGGCCCCTAGAAACTCGAGCGCTAGACCTCCGGACACGCCTCTGGAGTCGCCTACTCCAGCTCATCAGAGATCGTCTGCTGGACGTGAGAATGGAATGTAACATCTCTTTTTTCTTTTTATTTTTTTTCCTATAAAATATAAACACTTGGAGCTGTAAATTGTACTTATTATAAAGGCTTACATTTTTTGTGGTTGATGGTGGATATGTATTAGTGTATAACATGTACTGCTTGCTATTCAAATAATAATTTCTATATTAATTTCTGGCCTTCGAGATTTGGTAGGTGAAAATGCCTGTTACCGAATACCTCCAAATGGTAATAAATCGGAGATGAATTGCGAGCTTATTGTTTATGTCCTCGTAAACATGGAAAATATGTTGGAAGATTCCCGGTAGAACATTCAACGATAATAATCAAGTTAAATTTTATAAATGACAGTCAAATATGTCGTGACATTCTTATAAATATGTGTATATATTGTGGTCGGATTTATACATTTGACCATTCAAAAGGGTAGAACGGTCATTACACAAATTGAAAATTATCCATCCACATAATGGGCCATGTTGGGTTCTATTAGGAACGTCAACGACATGCACAGTATTGAATTTATCGAAATAAATACTAACACAGCGGAATCTATAGCTAGGATTAGGGCATTACTTTTTAAAATTTTTGCCGACTCTGAGACTTTTATGATTTCTTCCGTAGGAGATCGTCTTAACCGCAGAGTTCGTTGGGCAGCCGAACTTGGCCTCCTTGATCGGAATCGAGTCGTCGGGTCACGAACGGGTCACCGGGTCAAGTCTTGTCAGGCTCGGGCCTGTCGGACTGGGCTGGGCTTGGTTGGGTCGTGGCTGGTGGCTGCTGGACTCGATCGGGCTGGTTGCAGGTCGGTCTCGATGTCTGCAGAGCGCTGGTCGCGGCGACTGGTGTGTGTGCATCGGCTGGCGGGGACCTCAGGCGCGTTCGGTCTCGGCTGTCCTAGGCCGACGATGACTAGGCGCGAGCGAGAACTGCAGGCAGCTGGGAACACGCGCAGGTGAACGGTGGCGAGCGTGGCAAGCAGCCGAAGCGCGCAGATCACCGGGGCGGCGTGCGCGAACAGCAGGTGGGCGACGACGTGCGGGCGAGGCAGGGCGTCGCTAGACATTGATGATGAGAATGTGGCTAGGTGACTTAAAAACACATCGAGCCGCGCATACCACGCGCTGCGAAGGTTAGCCCGCGCATGGCCGACACGCAGGCAATCAAACAAGATGCACGATCGCTAGGGAGCGACGCACGCGAAAGGTGAAGGCGCGGAAGACACGGGCGATGATGAAGCACACGCGCATAAGGTCGGCGATGCATTAGTCCTCGAGGCAAAAGTAAAGACACACGTGGAAGAGGCCAAGGCGGCTAGGTTTCATTACTTGGCGCCCAAGATTAGATATTCTAGAAGGGTTTAGATAGTTTCCTTGTTATTTTATGATTTCTAGATTGTTTATGTAACGCCCCGTTCGTTCATGAATAAATGGATTATTATTATTATTATTATTATTATTATTATTATTATTATTATTATTATTATTATTATTATTATTATTATTGTTATTGTTATCATTATTATTATTATTACTATTATTAATCGAATGTCTAAATGTCATTATATGTTAAATTGTCTAATTGCCTAAATGAATTTTATGTGCCTTTTTGTAAATTTATGTAAATATTAATAATGTGGATTTTAATTATAATTGCCAATATTAATTTATGTATATTATTAAGTTTATTTTATTTTAATTATTTATGGGTCGAGCCGAGCCCGTGGTATTTTCGTAAGGGTTAACCGAACTCCCGGCCGAAGGCCCGCGCCCGAGCCCAGCCCGGCCGGCCCTCTCTCTCTTTTCCTTATTTTGTTTTAGCAAGATTAAGGCAAGTCAATCAAACCCTAATGCTATATATATGGGATTAGAAACCCTTAGCTTGAGAAATATATCACCCGCAGCCTTTTCTACTTCTCTCTCCCGCACTCTCTTTTGTTTTTCTCTCTGCCCGATCGAACAGAAGAGAACCCGCAGCAGCAGCGGCACTTCATCTTCCTCCTCTCGCCTTGATCGTCCTCGCCATCACCATCTTCAACGTTCACGTGACCAGGCCCTCATCCCGCCACCATCTCAAGCCATCCGTCATCTTCATCTTCATCATCACCGTCATCAGACAGCCACCATCGACCACCTTCGTGAGCAGTCCACCGCGGATCCCTGCTCTTCCGGCGAGGTCACGAACGGCAGCGCAACCATCCCCGCAGTCCGCGCAGCCCACCATCGTTCCCCGTAATCGTAGCAGCCGAGCTCAACCCACCACCTCCGCCGTGAAGAGCTTCCCGTCCGCGCAAGCTTTCCTCCTCCGCCGTAGCTCCATCGCCGTCGGGACCCGAGGAGTTCCGTCGGAATACTCAACGTAACCGTCGAGTCCCGTCGAGTTCCGTCGGAACGTCAAACGTGGCCGGCGAGTCCCGACGCGAGCCGTAGCCACCGCAGCAAGCCACCTTCTCCATTCGTTGCCCCTCCTCCGGTGACCAACAGCGAGCCCAGCATCGCCTCCATCGTTGTCCATCGCGGCCGTGTCTCCGTCGTCACAGCAACCTTCCCCGTCGGCGAACCAAACGTAGTTGTCGAGCCCCGTCGGCGCTCACGTACCCGTCGTTCAGCCCTTGTTTCATTTGATTTTCCCCGAGAACGGTACAAGGCTGAAAACCCCCTTATTTTTATG